GTAGTTGACTTATATGGCAATTACAAGCAAATCACAAACTTCAACCAGCTTTGTGCTGATAAAGACCTAGAGTTGATATATGCAATGTGAATACACTTTTGATGACCCACCATCTGACACAATTCCGATTGGTGCATTGCATAGGTGGATTCGATTGGCTAACACGGCGGGCCAAGCTCTTGCCAATGATGATTAATCATCCGCTGCATGTTGAAAGGTAAAAGGCATTTGCGCGTAATCAGCTCGGTCTACAAATCATTACATTTTCTGCATTTAATGGAGCACCTTAGACGGAGCAGACGGGCAGCCCTCTGTACCTTATGTAACAGACGCTTTAGCATCATTAATCGATAAATACAGTGTCACTGCAGAGCCTGCATTGCATTAGCGTTGTCAGCCAAGCTGCGGCTAGTATGATTCGCTCTGCCTGGTGAAAGTGAAAGGTTAACACCATGCTCAAGCCGTATAGGAAATATTTGAAAAATGATGTACAAGATAATAATATATTACTGGAAATGCGGTTTTTGCTTGCATCTGAACAGTTGCCCTTGCGACCTTGAGCGATGAAGCGGAATTAACCTCATATAAATGAAAACAATAACAAAACATGTAAGCTCCAAGGTCGTTGCTCATCTGCAGCAATCCTGTTTATCACTTTGCCAACTCTGCCACAGTGTTGAGAATGAGCGTCAGCTTCATGGCCGTTAAGGCCAACGAGCCCTGTCTCTGAAAAAGTGGTAACTGAGCAATCTGCTAAAAAACGCATAAACACATCAGGAATCAATTGATTTTCGCTATGCTGACTCGATCTTTACTCATCAATGAGTTACGGGGATTAATATTGTAAACATTACATGTAGGCAGCCTTTAGTTATGTGTGTGTCGACAAATGAGCGCAGATGGGCCAGGCTAAATTGGACTGTGTCCTTGCAGCGTTTGCACGCCCAAGACCCATGACGGTGTCAAAATCATTTAGCATGACTGCCTTTCTAAATTGTTGTATAGTTATGCGCAGTTACAGCCTTGAATTGTTTGCTGTGTACTTCTCTTTATGGCTGCAACTGCCACTGTACTCACGTAATTGCACTACACGAGTACTTAAACTGTGGGTAGTGGATAAACAACAAACGTGGGTAATCTAAAAAACCAAACTTTACCTTACTGTTTATTTTGTGGTCAGCGTGAAACTCATCTCAAAGTTCTTTGAGCTCGTCCGAGGCATTTATAGCTTTTATCTAGCAAGAGCCTAAGCGATCTAAAAGTTAACAGAAAACACATTCACCCATTCATTCAAGGGGCATTTGAAAAGAAAGTGAAACATTTCGGTTGTCCAATTACATATGATTGTATAGCAACCTACGACTTTGATGTATGCATATACATAGCCGTGTCTATAAATTATGATTTCCACATGCTCTTGTGCTATAGTTTATATAATTTTGAGTACCGTACATATGGATTTGGTAATTATAAGTACGGGAGTAGAATGTCGAGTCCACAGTCAATTTCCATTCAATCAATTACACAGCTACGGTGTAAAGTCGCCTTAAGTCATATGTTAGCGTTACGGGTGCCCGCTTGTGTCAGTGAGAGTAAGCTATGAGCAGCGAGCCGTAGATGTGAAACACGCATAAAATAATCATAAAAATTAAGAGTTTTACGCAATCCTAACTGGGCATTCAACCATTAGCTACGCAGGCCGTGAGTGAGAAAGAGCACTCTGGACGCCGAGTCTGGGCCGGAGGCAGGTGTGAGAGCGTTAAGTAGAGCAGACGTGCCAGTCAAGGCGACTTGTTGCTATTTTAAAATACAATTTATAGAGATGTCAAAACTTGTTATATATTTGGTGCTTGCTGTGAGAGTGCGCCATGCTCATTGCACATTGAAAATAATTTTGTCTGCCGACAGGTAACGTCTACCTGTTTATCTTGTGGACACAATGAAAAGGAAGGAAAACTAATTCAAGGTGAGTAGCGCCATAAAGTATTAATTGTGTAGCCCCCATAATCTCATAATAAATAGGACTGGGAAATTTTCACTGAGGTCTCTGATGTCAATGAAATATTATTTTATTCCATACACATATATAGGAATAAAAAATCAAAATGAATTTCAATTTGCCATCATTGTTTATGGTGAAAAGTCATAGACCCTAACCCATTACAATATTTGCACTAGTAGTGCATTAATAGACTCTGTTCATATTTATAAATGCGCGCACCCAGCTTGTCTTGCCTAAGCCTTTGTTGTGCTCAGCTGCAAGTGCAAAAAAAAAAAAAACGAAAGTGCACAGCGGCTTCATTCATATTACACCATATATCGTATATGCACATGGGCACCTCTCAGATTACATTTAGAGTCCAAGTCAGACAGACGCATAGCAACTGGTGTATGAATTTAATGACGCCCTTCCGCATGTGCCGTCTATCGATTATGTTTGTAGTAAATAAGCTGTGACGTTAATTTACTTTAAATTTGGCATTGACAATTCTTTTACAGATTGCGTAGCAAATTTATGAAGTCCTCTACTTCCTTTATTTATACACTTATTGCATGGACATCATAAGACTACCAAGTATCGTAACTCATTTCAATAAGTAAATATATAATTTCTGCATGCTAACTTTCTCGATTAAAGCCAACGTAAGGTTTCTATATAATACTTAACGTGCTGTCAACCAATTCAAACTGCCGCCATTTCATTTCAATATGTTGTAATCGTATGCCTTAACATCTGACCCGCAGACTGGGTCGATTTCTTTCTGCGGCCCGTGAATTTTAATTCCATTGCCAATACATAAGTTAAGCTAAGAAAGTTTTTCTAAATACCAAACAGCTTATATTACTTTGTGCTTTGTATGTATGAGTGCATTATTACAAGCGATACACCTTAACAGTTTTCAGAAAATGAAAGTGAAATAGGCAGCGCAGTATTGGACTACGCCAACTAATCCCAAAGAAATATTACGTGCACGTAATATTTGATTACTTTTACAATACAATGTATATTCATATATTTCATCTAAAATATCGCAAATTTTTGTATATACATTCATTGCATTGCTTTATATAATTGAGTGGTTTCCAAAATGAATTCTAATCCACTCTATGCAGTAATTTTTATATATACAGCCATTTTTCGATTGTTTTATATTTATGCACATTGGCTGATTTATTAGTTTAAAATACATTTAAGTGAGTTGTGTTTGCAAATTATTTACAGTTATTATAACCGCAATTCGTTTGGTAACATAAACACTCACTCGTAAAATAAAAAAAAAAAACTCTTCCAATTCGTTCATAGCACTCAAGTCACTGTGTTGTATGTAATTAATATCTGTGCCATAAGCTGACTAGCTGATTGGCATGGCTTACATAAGTCCAATATCTTGTGTTTTGTCCAGTGGACAGCGCGGGCTCGCCAATCGCTGCGGCTCGTTGTTATGCTTCAAAATGATTATGTTACATATTATTCATATGAAAATATGTGTGTTAGGCAAATAGATCACGTGAACCAACATTTTTATTATCTTTCACCCGCCCGATATGGCAAGTAGTAAGATCCCAAATGTTGTTGCGAATAATTTATTATAAATGAGCTCAATATTTAAAATATATTTCATTGTTTTCATTATCGATATAATAGATCTGATTAAAACACAGTGAATCGACTCTATATCATTTTATACCTGTAATATATTTGTGTGTTTCTGTGTATGCGTATAATACGCAAATAATCAAACAGGTTTTCTATAAACGTTAAAAATGAATACAATTCTTTCGTACATACATTTGAAAATTTACATATAAACGCTGATTCATTAATCTTTCTTTAGACACATGCCAAAGTATTTTAGTTTTATTTTTCTTCAAATCATATATTTTTGATTTTGATTATCACTGCATTACTATACCATGTACTCATTGAATAAGTTAGAAAGGGCATATTAAATATATGTATATACGAATTCTCTTTCATTTGAGCACGACTTTTTCATTTTAATTTAGTCAAAATAATGTTAGATCAATATCAGTTTAGTCATCGGAAAACATGTTATCTGCTTTCTCAGTTTTAATATGGTTATTCCACTCATAATAATATGCATGACTTTAAGCCAACGAGTTTTTGCGATTGCCGATCAGCATTACTCACGAATAACATAAGAAAACAAATACGAATTTTGTTGTTTAAGAACTTTCGAGTATGCGATACCCTATACAAAAAGACTTATTCTGTAGTTAAATGGATGAAGTAGCATTGAATAAAATTAGAATCAATGAGGAATTAAAGATTCGTATCACAAGTTAATAGCATATAAAAGTACAACCAAACTATTGATGACTGAAAACTAATTTTCAGTTAGATATAAATTTAAGTATTAAAAAGTTATACAATCGTTCTCATCAAAAATATTCAAAATATTGCATATAAATATTCAATATAATACGACTAAAGCTTGTTTTGTCAAAATGTTTGAATCGCCATCAGACTTTATTCAAATATTATATTGTGTCAATTTTACCAAGATCAAAACGAGTTTTGGTCGGGCACCATTTTTCTACAGGTTGCAGTACATTTTTTTTTAACAATTTGTGATATATATTCAGGTGCATGACACCTTACACACTGTGATCTTATTTTAAAAAACTTTAAACTGGGGCCACTTACGAGTATCTGCAAGCACCGTACAACTAAAAGCTGATGATTTTAAAAAGGAACTATTTTTCTAAACTACTTAAAGGTAATAGTATTTTTGATTGAGAGTCAAGTTCTATAGTGATTACCTACTTCGAGAACGAAATATTGCCCAGTGATTCTTTGATTAACTGTAAGAGCATTCTTACAGGTCGCACTCTGATCACATAAACTGATTCTGCTATCTTTCTGACATAACTAGTCGAGGTGTTTTGGCTTAGACTAACTAGATACGGCTCCTTAGTAACGAGTTTGTGTCTTAAGTCATTTGATTTTGTTAGTATGATGTCAAATATGATCTTACCTGTTTCGAATAACAATAGACATAATCCCAGAAGCCAGTATAAACTACGTCGATGTGTTGAAAACTGCATGTTGCTGTTGTTATTGCGCATCACTGTAACTGTAAATTTTCTTGTAGTTGCAGTTGCGTTTTTTAGGTTAATTCACAGAATTTGAAATACCAAAATGCAAGCACAGTCCGACATTCAAACGGCACGGCAACATTAGCTTAAAAAATGCCAGTCTTTACTGCAAACAAAGGGTATATATATTTGCGAATGTATGTAGACGCGTAAGTATGTAGAGAAACAATGTCGTAATCTTTTAACTTAGATTTTTTCCGTTTTCAGGCTTTTGTGATACAGTTTTCTTGAGCTCTTGGATTTTTCTCGACTGCGGCTGCAATTTAATTCAGTTTTGTTTAAATAATCTATGTGGGGTTATTTGCACAATCGCTAAAGTTATAAGCATTACTTTGTTCACATACACACACATACTCACTTGAATTCTAATATTGCAAAAGTAGCCAACCACCAAAACAATATGTTTAAATTATTGGCTACATAAAATGGTATTATAGATATTATTAACACGAAGAAATCTAAGATCAGATTTAAAGTTTTGTCGCACTGCGTACCATACCGAAGAAAAGTATGCAACTAAGACAATGTTTAGCGAGGAAAATGTAAAGCGAAATGAAATAAACAAACAACAAAACCTAACAGTTTTTGCTTTTGTTGATGTTTTTCTTGGCGAAACTTTCTTTTTGACGTAAAGCCAGTCTGAATACGTTTGCCGTAGCTTTTTCGCGCACACACGCGCGTCTCTTGAACTATAAAATGCAGCTGCGGCTGCTTTCTATACGTGAGTTAGTTGAGTGCAATAGTCACGAATTTAACAGGTCGACGCTTACGAGCCTATGATCACATTAATATGTTGGTTTTTGAACGTGAATGCTCTATACCGTTTGAACTTTGCACATGGTGTTGTTCTTAAGCAACCAGCTTATTGCACTACTCCAATTCTATCAGCCAAATCACTTCTTACCGTGCGCTCGAGGGAACACGTCCTAATCGAAACAACTAACAAACGCGACTGTGCGCAGCAAGTGCTTCAACTCAGTCAGCTGGACCGTCGAGTCAAGCCAGGTTTGAGATTGGTCTCTATTGTGGTTGACTGTTAGTTAACAGCGCCACCACTGTTAATGACGCTGTTATGTCGACCGCTACGTGCATAGCTGCTCGCCTCGACGGAGTCTCTTTAACTTTTGAAAGTAAGAGTAAAATTTGTCTTGCTGACAAAAGCTTTTATGATCTAATGGCGAGAGCTAGTTCATGTTGCCTATTAATTTTTAATGCTCGCCAGTAGACGTTGGTTTGCTTTTGCTTAGCAAATGTGTTAACTCAATTTAATACTGAAAATACTTACCACATCAATTTATTATTTAAAACTAAATTTAAGTTGTTGTGCCAGTTCCTTGTGAACTGTATTTTTTTTTTTTTTTTTTTTTTTTTTTTTTTACATAACAAAGACTATAACTCCATATAATACAAGCTATTTTGAAGTAAATAGTTAAAAGTGAAACTATCGGAAGGCAACGGCAACAAGCAAGAACAATGCCGAACAACTAGACCAAAGTAAAGCTTATGAACAAAAAAACTTTCCATTAGGCTTTGGCAACTTAAGTAAATTAACATTATTCAAATGTTAGATAACTGACTTTTAAATGTAGATTTTTCATATATTTAACTAGATACTCACAAGTTTTAGTGAAACTATAGTTACAGCGCAACTTACCAATTTAGTTTAAGGCTTATCAAAATTAGACTGGCAGTACACTTTTAACACATTTGAAGACTTTATCAGGGTTAACGGCTATAAATATATGTAAAACAAAAATGAAGCTTTTCAGGTTGTCAGTTGGTCTCAATGGTGTAAATTTACAAATGTGTCATAGTTATGCCAAAAAGTTATTAAGCTAATGTATATTTTCATAAACAAATTATTATATTGTCCCACAATGTCTTAATTACAAAATCCAAGCAACATTTGACGCTCCAAATTGCTGTGAATGTTAACAAAAGTATTTGTCATTTTCTGCTTCATATACCATTGCAGAAAGACAGCGCCTCTAAGATATTTGCCATTCACTTCACAAATGGGCGGCGATAATATATTTATATATTACTAGCATGTTGCACTGCCAAACTGGTAGCACACCCTGTACTTACCATACAAGTCTATGAAAAGTATTTTTAAGTTTCAATAGTGAACTAGATAAATACTAAGTCATCTATCTATCTGCAATATGTGTTTGACCTAGCGCCAATGATTACCAAGTCATATACTAAATGACTGAGGTTAGTTACCATGAGTAAAGGGTGCTCAATAGTCCCAACACTGGAATAAAAATTAATTCTTACTATTTATTTTAGTGTTTTGATAAGTTAAGAGTAGTTGTGGCTAAAAGAAGCGCGCAATAAGCCGATTTTCAAGAGGTACTGCAATGTGAGCAAAGTAGTCCCTGGTAACTTACTTAAAATTATACACAATCAATTTAACCGCATATTGGGCATTGACAAAATTACCAAAAATTTGAGTGTGTACATTAAACCGTTAAGTATGCAACCTTGATAACTTCCCTATTAATACGTTAACTGAACAGTCTATTGTAAGCTCAAAAGCCTACACTCATACGTACGTACGTACGTGTATACATGCATAAGTCTACATTTGTAACGGCCTTCATGGCAGATTGTACATTGTATCTACTTGCTTTGGTCTTTCGACCGATCTATTGTACTCGCAACTTGGCTAAAAATGGGAGTGCTGCGTTTAAGAAAAGCTCACGATCTAATGGCCCTGATAATTGAAAAAGCTTTTGTGAAAAACCTCAATTTATTCAGCAACAAATCTGTTTGTAAGACTCAATAATACGATAATATATAATAATATTCATATAAATCGATATTTAATAAAAAAAAAAGTTTTTTGACCTGCGATATTCAGTCAAAACTAAAAACTCTTAAAATTATTTTTGAAATGAAGCTTTTATTTTTTAAATTCATTAAATTATTTTATGTATTAATTATAACAGGCTTTCATTAGGATCTATGATTTGTTGATCTTAATGAGTCCTAAATTTATATATATACAAAGGGGATTGAATCAGATTTATATATATTTCTTTTAAAAATATTTACTATTTGTTTTGGTTAATAATACCTCACCCACTCACAAAACCAACCATACATTGGACCATGTTCGCAACGGCAGTTATAAAATTCGAAATCAGAACAGTCACAGAATCAACGACAACAATGTGAATGCAACGACAACAAAGGTAGCAGCAACCGACTTGCTGACCTTCTCCACGCCTTGGAGTGACTGTTTCGCAATCACCGACTGGGCGGCTTCTCAACGCTACAATTGCTGTATTGTGGCTAAAGCTAAGACGCCAGGTATTGGGCGAATGCTGCAATTTTATATGCATATGGAAGCAGGCGAACGAGCACGACCGCGTCATTTAAATTGTGGCACCTAGAAACTAGAATTTACGAGAACCGGCTAATACTTAATACAGATACTCCACAGCAGAATATTACGCCAGCTGTGTTGTATAGCCAGCTGACCAGCCACGCCTTGTCGGATCAGTTTACCTAAGTGTATCGAGAGATTGTTTAATTTTGTTGTTGGCAATTAATTATTGGACAAACCCGAATATGTGCGTTCCCATCAAAAATTAAACTCTTTTTTACGTATTTACGGAATGTATATAATCGGATGTACATTTAATGTTTGCGAATTCCATGCAATCGGAGATTAAATGAAGTTTTTTTTAATTATTAAGTTCCTGTTCTGATCTACTCTAATATTTTAAAAACTGATAATAAATATTTACGCAAGTAATTTACATTCTACAGCTGGATTTTTTTTATCTTGTATGTGAATATATATTTATGTATAGATACACTTTTTTTTCATTTTTTATGGGAAATTTCAAAAGGAACTTGAAAAAATTATATTAATTATGTTGCATTTGCATTGCCTCAACATAACCAAAGAGGTGAAAGTATTTATTTTGAGCATTGTCAGTCAAAACAAATGACAATCAAATTGACAATTCATTAGAAACGCCATAGTTTCACGAACTGATTGCTGAGGAACACAGGTATTTATCACTTAACTTAAATGTCAATAAATCGTTAATAGTGCTTGCAGCTGGGACCTTAATATTTACTGCTATTAATTGGCATTTAAAATTTCGGTGACACACCCAGGTTAGATAAACCAAATAGGCTTACATTTAGAGAAAATTACAATGAAACTGCATTATCATAGTCAAATTTATGAATTTATTGAAAATGAATGGCAAGAATGGTATTATTCGCGGATGCTAATCTAAAAATACCCCACTCCCCTAGCTAATCTTGCTTCATTTGATTAGCTAAATAGAAGAAATATTATTTATTTGTAAATTGTCCACGTATATAAATTACGATTTGTAAGCTTTCGCTTCGACCCATGTCGCTTGCTTAAATGAGTAACTGGATCAATTTAAAGACCGGTTTTTTGCATTGTGCACATTGAGTGTTGAATGCATTTTTCTTCAAAAGTTTGGTATTGCTTAGTGCCACTGGGAAATGAAAAGATCATTTTAATTTTTTTTATTAACATACTATATATATACATATA